ATTATGCGCCACTACGTTAGACTAATTTTGCAGAGACAGTGTTTTTCCATGTTGGCCAGGCTCATCTTGAACTCCCAACCTCAGGTGATCCACCCACCTCAGCCTCCCAAAGTGCTGGGATTACAGGCATGGCTTTTTTTTTTTTTTTTTTTTCTTGAGATGGAGTTTTACTCTTGTTGCCCTGTCTGGAGTGCAATGGCACCATCTTGGCTCACTGCATCCTTCGCCTCCTGGGTTCAAGTGATTCTCTTGCCTCAGCCTCCATAGTAGCTGGAATTACAGGCATGCGCCATCACATCCAGCTAATTTTTGTATTTTTAGTAGAGACAGGGTTTCACCATGTTGGTCAGGCTGGTCTCAAACTCCTGACCTCAGGTGATCCACCCGCCTCAGTCTCCCAAAGTGCTGGGATGATAAGCGTGAGCCACTGCACCCGGCCTAAAACATCTTTTTAATTCAAGTTCAGTAATTACATTGTAATATATTCTGTATGTCACTATAAACTAACCTTTTTTTTTTGAGACAGAATTTACCTCATCCCCCAAGCTGGTTGGAGTACAGTGGTGAGATTATAGTTCACTGCAGCCTCAAATTTCTGGGCTTAAATAATCTCACTGCTTCAGCCCCCTGAGTAGCTAGGACTACAGAAATGTGCTACCACATCCCCAGCTATTTTTAAAATTATTATCAATTTTTTTGTAGAGACGGGGTCTCACTATGTTGACCAGATTGGTCTCGAACTCCTGAGCTTAAAAATCCTCCAGCCTCAGCCTCCCAAAGTGCCAAGATTATAGGCATGAGCCCCTGTGCCCGGCCTTTAGACTTTCTATTTCCTGACACTATTGATGATTGGACTAAACGGACTAGACTTTCTTTTGGAAATTTTTTGTATGCATTTTTTTAATCTTCCAATTTGTAAGTATTTGAGCACTAATATTCTGCTTGGCACCCTATTAAGTATTAACCCACTCAGACATTTGAGTGCCTCTCATGTTCCAGTCTCTACAGAACGCGGTGAAGAATGTGATATACTTCATCTCTCATTTAAGGAGTCATAATTAAACGTTAAAGGGATAGAGATGAGTTTATGCAGAGGTTAACTTTTGGTAGTTGTGGATAAATTAAAAATGAAATATAGGGAGGCTGAGACAGGGGAATCACTTGATCCTGGGGGGCAGAGATTGCAGTGAGCCAAGATGGTGCCACTGCACTCCAGCCTGGCAACAGAGTGAGAGTCTGTCTAAACAACAGCAACAAAAAGAAATAACTATATCGTACCATATATGATACTAGATTTATATAGTACAGTTAATAAAATAGCTTCCTAGGCCCATGAGAATAAAGAGTTAAGATTTTTTTTTTTTGGCCTAAGATAGTTAAGTCTAATCTTTTTAATTGCAGATGTTTGGTGTGGATGTGTTTGTGTTGTGTTTTTTTGCTTTGGGTGGGGGTGTTAGATGCATAACTGCGGCAGAGTGCAGTGGCTCATGCCTGTAATCCCAGCACTTTGGAAGGCCAAGGCAGGCGGATAATGAGGTCAAGAGATCCAGACCATCCTCACCAACATGATGAAACCACATCTCTACTGAAAATAGAAAAGTTAGCTGGGTGTGGTAGCTCAGCGCCGGTAGTCCAGCTACTCAGGAGGCTGAGGCAGGAGAATCACATGAACCTGGGAGGTGGAGGTTGCAGTGAGCCAAGATCGCACCGCTGCACTCCAGCCTGGTGACAGAGTGAGACAC